AAAGAAAAAAAAAAAAAAAAACAGAACACCAAATCATACTCCTGGAGTAGCTTGGAGGAAATTTAGAGCAAATATATTAATAATTGTATTCCTGGCCAGGCATGGTGGCTCACCCCTGTAATCCCAGTACTTTGGGAGGCAGAAGAGGGCAGATCACTTGAGGCCAGGTGTTCAAGACCAGCCTGGCCAATACGGCAAAACCCCATTTCTACTAAAGACACAAAAATTAGCCGGTCATGGTGATGTGCGCCTGTAATCCCAGCTACGTGGAAGGTGGAGATGGAGGCAGGAGAATCGCTTGCACCTGGGAGGTGGAGGTTACAGTGAGCCAACATCACACCACTACACTTCAGCCTGGGCGACAGAGCCAGACTCTGTCTCAAAAAACAAAACAAAAACAGTATGACAGATACTTGGCTTCTAGGAGGTGAATAGGAATGAGGCAGGATGCTCACATAATTCTATCCGCATCGGCCATCCCTAGGTAGCCTCTACCCTACCGTGTCCTGTGGAATGAGGGCAGAACAGCCTTGCACGCTGTGGTTCTTTTAGCCATGTGTTTTGACACCACACTCAGGGGTGTGTGGAAAGCCAAGTAAGTCACTCCCCTGGAAGACTGCACACGGCATGCACACGCAAACCCATGCAGGAGGACAGCAAGCAGGCAGTGGCCACCCTCGGGGCATGCACACGTCTAGGAGAGCCAGGCAGCAGGCAGGGAATCACTGGCATTCCAGCTCAGGGAGCAGGCAGTACCCAAGGTGATCGTGGCGTAAATGACTCCTTCAGGCACCTGCACCCATCTGGGGACTCCAGTGGGGAGAAATCTGCCAGAGTGACCTGCACGCCATCCAGGAGCACAGAGAGAGGCAAGAGGAGAGAGACAGGATGAAGAGAGGAGCACATCCAAGTGCAGAGGCAGGGAGAGGCGTAGACGCGGCAACTTGGCTGCCAGCCCACCAGAGGTTAGTGCTCGCCCATCAGAGGTGTGAGCTGTTGGTGAGTCCACTGCCCAGCCAAGGACATCATTTCCCAGAACCAGAGCCCTTCGCATCCAGAGATGACCATGTGACTACTTGTCACCAAGGCACTGTGGGCAGAAGTGATATGTGTCACTTCTGGCTGGCGATGTTAAGAAGCAGATAGGGGTTCTCTGCTCTCTCTTTGCAGAGGATCCTGTGGCCCTCGAGGGTGGCTGAGATTAACATGGGAGGAGCCTGGGCACCTGATCTACATGAGGACCAGTAATGCTCCACACTGAAATACCCACAGAGAAACAGGTTTGCACTGTGCTACTAGAAACAGAAGTGCTGGATTATCTGCTATAGCCACTAGCATTACCCCAGGGGGAGACACCATCAGTGAAGTACCTGGTATCGCTGGCAAGCAGCAGCAAACCCCAATCTCCCCATCACAGGCCATCGGGGCACCCATTACATGTGTGCTCAGAGACAGGGACATGACCCAGGGGAGCAGTGTGCGGACAGGGCTGGTAGAGCAGGTAAGAATCCAAGCAAATGGCCTTTTGCAGGAAGTCAGCACGTCACAATGGCAACCAACTATAGCAAGGGGCTGGGGCCCCACCTCCATTCCTCCAGCTGCAACCCGAATGTCGCACTGTTCCACCAGGCCAGACCTGAGGCCAGGCCAGCTTGTAAGGCAGGTGAAGGCCTCCCTCTGTGCTGAGCATGACTGCTTCTCCCCAGTCACCCCCAGGCTGCTCCCTGGCAGGACAGGCAGGCCTACACTCCCTCCCACCTCGCAGCGGGATTTCCTCCGTCTTGGAGCTTTCCTGACCCTCTCTGCACGTGTGTCCAAGCTGTCCTTGGGATGACCCCTAGTCCTGGCTACCACCAGTGTGAACTCACCGTTGAGAGACAAAACCAACAAGCCCTGGCCTTTCTGATCACTTGTTTGTGTCGAGATGGAGTGTCTGCCCCACAGACCGGACCTCTGGCGCGTCTGGGAGGCAGGCCCCTGCTGGCCCGGCCACACCTGAGGATGGTGAGTCACTGTTTCCACCTTCAACGTGAATCCAGACAGCAGCACCGCACCCTCAGCTTTGGTCTGAAATCACAGCCCGACTGGTGAGTCGGCACCACCTCACACGCTCAGGGGGTCAGTGCTAAGTGCCGGAGCCCACAAAGCCAGGAGCCCACAAAGCCAGGGTCTCAGAATAGCCTCGGCCCAAACAGGCGCTTGCCTCCCACTGCGTTCCCAGCAGGAGGCGACAGGTAAGTGTGAAGAAAGAGCAGGGGAATCCCGTGTTGCTCCCAGTCACTGGTCCCATCTCATCCCTGGTCCTGTTCTTTTTATTTCAGTAGGTTTTTGGGGTACAGGTGGATATGTTCTTTAATGGTGATTTCTGAGGTACTGCACCTGTCATCCGAGTATGTAATCTTTTATCCCTCATCCTTGCTCCCAACCTTCCCCTGCTAGTACCAAAAGTCCATCCTATCACTCTTATGCCTTTGCGTCTTCATAGCTTAGCTCCTGCTTATAAGTGAGAACAGAGGAGATTTGGATTTTTATTCCTGAATTACTTCACTTAGAATAATGGCCTCCAGCTCCATCCCAGTTTCTGCAAAGAACATCATTTGATTCCTTTTCCTGGCTAAACAGTATTCCGTGGTGTGTGTGTGCCACATTTTCTTTACACCTTCACTGGTTGATGGGCACGTAGGTTGGTTCCGTCTCATTCCCGGTCCTGCTCTCTAAGGAACCAACACCACCTTCCTCGGCCTAGTTCATTCCCAGCCCCAGGGGCCCTGGCCTTTTACATCTGCTGATTGATTTATGTTTTCAAAGCCCTTTTGTTTACAAAGGAAGGAAAGAGAAGCAGGTCAGAAGGGGAGGACCACAGTCCAGCTGCCCTAGAGACGAGGGTCACAACCACCTCTTCCTGAACCTTCGGGGCCTTCCTGTGTAATCAAATCCCCACACCAAGAGCACTTTTGATCCAACTTCCTCAGGCTGAGAACCACCAGCCAAGGACAGAAGATGTCAGCATGAGCCTTGCCCACAGAACCGCTCACACAGGGTCCAGGGTGATCTTTTCAATACCTAAGTGATAGAGTTTGGCTGTGTCTCCACCCAAATCTCATCCTGAATTCTAGCTTCCATAATTCCCACGTGTCATGGGTGGGACCTGGTGGACGTAACTGAATCATGGAGGCGAGTCTTTCCCACGCTGCTCTCGTGATAGTAAGTCTCACGGCATCTGATGGTTTTACAAAGGGGAGTTTCCCTGTACACGCTCTCTCTTGCCGGCTGCCATATAAGATGTCCCTGTGCTCTTTGTCTTCTGCCATGATTGTGAGGCCTCCTCAACCATGTGGAACTGTGAGTTCCAGTAAGCCTCTTTCCTTTATAAGTTACCCAGTCTCGGGTATGCCTTTATTAGCAGCATGAGCACAAACTAACGCACTAAGTTAGGCCAGTCCCTAAGGAACCCTCTGGAGGCTTGCAGTCTTGCCTCATTCAGAGAAAGGCCAAAGTCATTCCAGTGGCTGGCAGTCCCATCTGCGTCCCCTTCTCCCGTCACTCTCCCCTGCTCCTGCCAGGCTGGCCTCCCTGTTGTTCCTCAGACACACCCAGAGCTCTCTTGCCTCAGAGCTTTTGCAGATGCCGTGCTCTGTGTCTGGAAAGTTCTTCCTGGATGTCTCTGCCTGACTCACTCACCATGTCATTCAGGAATCTGTTTAAGTCACATTATCAGAGAAGCCTTCCCTATCTAAAGTAACTCCCCTGTCCTGCAGAAGCCCAGCTCCTGTCCTGTTTTCCATCCTGACACTTATCAACACCGACACACACTGTTTATTTGTTGTCTGTCTTCTCTCACTAAATGTCAGTGCTGAGATGGCTAGGCTCCCGTCCCTGACACAGTGGGAACACCATAACTATGAGTCCAGTGAAAGAACATGGAAACTACACTCAGACTCAGCCACTTCCATTGCTGACCAGAGCCTCATGCCTCTTGGCCTCTCTTTCATCACCTTTCTGTGCTGAAATCTCACCATTTGCAGTCAGGAACCACAGAAAACATCAGACGCGGTCAACCTATTTGTGCCGTGCCATCCCTCCCTCATTCCTCCTTGCAGGACAGCCAGGTCTGCCGTGGGTCTTGGCTCCCCATTCACACTGAAGGCTGAATGCTCTGTGACCAGTTCTCAATTTGGACCATGCTCTGCAGTCACAGCAGCCCAGGCTATTCTGTTTCCCAGCCCAAGAAGAACATATCCATTACCCCAGGTGAGTCTGCACCAACATCTGTGCGGGAAGCAGTCAGTCATCCTCCCAAGCCCCAGCCACTGGGATGTACCATTGAGGGATGTGTCGTATGGCTCAGCCTCTTCATAGTAGCCCTCCGGAGACTCCACCTTTGGGATGGTGAGCTGTTTCCGTTCTGGAATCTGTGGTATGAACAGATAAGACAAACATTTGCAGATACGGTACCCTGGGAGCAACTTGGAAATAACTCTTTGGGTGAAGTCTAGAAGACAAAAATGCCCAGCTGGACTTTAAACTTTAATCAAGTTGGGAGGGAGAACATGTAATATCATGAATCCCATCAGTCACCATCCACAGTGTTGGGTCTGTAGCCGTGGAAGGGCTGTGGGCACACTGTCTAACCTTGCCAAGACTCAGCTTTCTCCCCTGAAAAATGAGGTTCAACCCCCCTACAATACACACAAAATATCATTATGTACATGGTGTATCACGCACTTAAAGGTCCAGAGAGTGCTAGGCTGCTGGGATAGCTATTGTGGCTTTTAAATAGAATATATTTTCTAGAACGACAAGGGCTAATCAATAGCACATGTAGAAAGAAGACCAGGTTTCTAAATCCCACACTTTTACCATAATATAGTTGAATCATTCATTCAGCAAATACTGAATTACTTCCATGTACTAGCTGAGAGGTACACACCGAAATGTCAGGAGTCAGTCCTAAGAAAGCTTGAGCAGCTGGTGAATTTGTAATAGCTCCTGGTCAAGTGCATTGTGATACAGTAGTGCTATGATGGACAAGGTCAAAGTTCTATGGGAACCAGGAGGATGTGAGGAACATTTAGGACCAAGGAAGGATGCCCAGGGGATGTGATCTTTGAGCCAAGTCTCAAAGAGGACCCTGAGCTTCTTATGTGGGATGAGGTGAACACGTGTAATTTGAGTAAAATGAAGAACGCATGCACTGTGTTAGAAGCACAGAACATGAAATCATTCTCCATTCCCCCCTTATTTCACCTGCATAGTCGGCACTAGACTATGAAGCTATGCTTCAGTAAGCTACCTTTATAAGCAACTGTGAGGGAGAAAGAGAGGCAACCTGTTGCATTACTGTTATGAGAGACAGGAATGTGTAAGCACCCTTGAACGTGGGTCTCCAGTGTTTTTTTTTTTTTTTTTTTTTGGACGGAGTCCCACTCCTTCGCCCAGGCTGGAGTGCAGTTGTGCAATCTCAGCTCACTGCAACCTCTGCTTCCTGGGTTCAAGCGATTCTCCTGCCTTAGTCTCCCGAGTATCATGGATTACAGGGATACGCCACCATGCCCAGCTAATTTTTGTCTTTTTAGTAGAGATGGGGTTTCACCATGTTGAGGTCAGGCTGGTCTCCTGACATCAAGTGACTGCCCGCCTTGGCCTCCCAAATTGCTGGGTTTATAGGCGTTAGCCACGACGCCCAGCCCCCACGGTCTTTCCAAATCATGAAACTCCACGGGAATATGCATAAAGAGTTCACAACAGAAGTGGCAGAACTGGAAACGTGCTCCCTCCCACTCTTGATTTTGACAAGTCCTTGTGCTGGGCCCTCCGTATGAGAGGGAAGGCCTCGGCCTTCAAGGAGGCTCCAAGTGAAAGCACAGGTGACGTATAGAATAGGGGAGGTTGTAGCGGGGAGACGATGGAGGCAGCAGCCAATGGAAGGACCATGTAGAGCCCTGAGCTCAGGAGGACCCCTGTGCTTTGGGGGAGAGGATAACGCTAGGAATCCAGAAACTCCTGCCGTGAAAAATGGGTTTATGTGGGGGGCCCATGATGGAGGTAGCTCCCCTGGTCCTGGCCCAGGAGATGGTGGGAGGACAGGCAGCCTGTTCCCAGGCCCTGTGGGACAGTCCTCAGCCTAGGCTGAAAGAGTATCCACTCCACTTTCCCCAGGGCAAGGATACCAGGGTCCCCAGAGCCCAGTCCTGTGTGACTTAGAATCTACAGTCTGTCTATATAGACCCTAGAGTTCCTGTAACTTGATTTCAATCCAGGCTTTAGGACCTCACAGATTTAACTCTGGGTATGTGACAGCCTCTCTGAGCCTTGCTTTTCTTTATAAAATAATACTAGGGTTGTCTTGAAAATTCAATGAGACAAGACGTGATAGTGTTTCCACAGAGCCTGACCCATAGTAAATACAAGGAGGCCATTGTCATCACTGACTGGGGCTTCTCCATAGCCCCAGGGTCCGCAGGTTGGGCGGCGGGGACGGTTAACGTGACAGGAGCCCAACTACTGGACCGTTGTCCTGCAAGCTGAGAAGAGGATCGCCCTGACAGGGCATCACAGAGGGTTAGCTGAGGCCAGGCCACAGCCCGGGCCCAGCACCAGATCTGGTCCTGTCCCAACAGAGCAGATATGAGGCACAGGGCAGGCTCGGAATAGCCTTCAGCCCCCCGCCCCGGCATGCGGCACCCCACGCAAAGGAAGGAATCAGAGGATTTGGTCAATTTCTTAAGCAAACCGGACACTGTACTGGGCCAACAGACACGCTGCTGAAGGGAGCCAGGTGTACAGCACACCTCTGCCCTGGCTCCTGCCTGGCAGCCAGCCCTAGCAGACAACGGGGTGCCATTGGTACCTGCTAGCACATGGGCCTCCCTCTTTGCCAGCACTAGCCTGGTGAGATGTCTCTCCACTCTCAGCCTTTCCTGGTCCCCTTGGCCAGCCAGCAGCCTGAGAAAAGGCTGAGACGGTGAAAGACTGCCCCGTGGTCCACTAACAACCTACTCCCCAGGGTCCACGGAGGAAGAGTCCTCCTCTCGCCCTCGCAGCCGTCCTTATTGGGAGCAGTAAGGACTCCCCAGCCAGCCCTAGTGCTCATGCAGCCTGATCTGGCTGGGCCTCCAGCTACAGCCTCCAAGAAGCTCCATTCCCATCAGGTGGGGCTGGGACCCTTCCCTCTATGAGGATGTGGATCCAATCTGGAAAGAAGCTCTGGGCACCCAAGATCTGGCTCCCAGGTCAGGATTCTGGAAAGTCAAACGGGACAAAGGGAGGCATGAACCTGTCTGCGGGAGTTCCCCAGGGGTCACTATCACCACAGGTCTGTCACTGGAGGCCCCCTGTCCTGTGGAGGTATCTCCAAAGCTTCTGTTGAGAAGAAAGAAATCGCTTAGAGGAATCTGAGCTGCGTGAGGCGTGCAAATGTATCAAGCCCAGAGGGACGGGAGTAGGGGACTTCAGGTACTTTTCTGCCCTCCCCATTCCTGGGGGCAACTGTTTAAAGGCCTTTCATTCCTCACCAGCTGCCTCATCCATTATCTTCAGGTTCCTGGAATTTCTGATACAAAGAACAATGTTTAGCTGATCAATAGCTTATGGTATTTTAACATAAGATACTGGTGAATAACTTAAAAACTGCCTCTTTTTCCTTTGAAAACCCACTTGTAACTGCTGCCAATAGAAGTGTGGATTCAGGGTAACTTGAATCTGTGCTCCTGGGCTGCAGCCCTCAAATTTGGTCAGAATAAACTCTCTACTTATATGTATTTGGCCTTCGTTTTTTGCCTGTAGGTTGACACTGCAAAATCTGAAAACGGCTCACTATGGAGAGACAGTGCAGGGCAGGAGGGGAGTCCGATCTCCAGAACCAGGCTTGAACCCTGACACTGGGATACCCTCGCTGTATGACTCTGACCAACTCACTTGACCTCTGGACTTGGCGTAAAATGGGGAGAGTAGAAATATCTGTCACAAGGGTTGCTGTAAAGGATTGAAGCGTGCCTATCACTATTCAGTACATATTAGCTTTTACTACCCTAAAAATTAAATGTAAAAATAAGGGAGAAAAGTTTTACGTATATGTTTGCTGGAGGATAAACCAATGTACTCTGGGGTGGGTACAGAGGAGACCGCAGGATGGAGTCCCAGCTCTCAAGGATGCTGGGTTAAATGAGTCACATGATTAAACAGACACAATGACCTATTATCAGAGCTCCAAGGAGAGAGATCCTCATCCCACAGGGTTAAGGAGAAAGGGCTATTATTTTAATTATCATCATCATTATGATGGTGAAGACTATGAATTATATACATATATACTTTTTTTGAGGTGGAATCTTGCACTGTCACCCAGGCTGGAATGCAGTGGCATGATCTCAGTTCACTGCAACCTTCACCTCCCGGCTTCAAGTGATTCTCCTGTCTTAGTCTCCTGAGTAGCTGAGATTACAGGTGCATGTCACCACGCCTGGCTAATTTTTGTATTTTTAGTAGAGACAGGTTTTTGCCATGTTGGCCAGGCTGGTCTCAAACTCCTGACTTCAGGTGATTTGCCTGCCTCGGCCTCTCAAAGTGCTGGGATTACAGGAAGACCGTGAATATTAAATGAAGATGCAGAAGAGATTTAACGTCAAAACCTGAATAATTTTCTGACTAGAGGAAGGGACTATGTGAGCGAGTCAGGCTTGGCAGGATTGACCAGACCAGAGGTCCAGAGGGCTGCAAATCTTTTCAGGAAAGGGCCAAGTAGTAAATATTCTAGGGATTTGTGGGCTATCGGGACCTCTGTCTTATCTCAACTATTCAACTCTGCTTACTGTGGCTCAGAAGTCCACAGACTAATAAAACTGAGTGACTGTGGCTGTGTTCCAGTAAAACTCTGTTTACTAAAGGACGCTGCAGATCAGATCTGGCTACTGAGCTACAGTGTGCCAACCCCTGGCTTAGACTAGACACAAGAGCTGATGAGGGGTGGCCCAGAGGACCTGAGGCGTCCTTGCAGCTCGAAGTACCCTGCACCAGAGTACACTGTGGAAGGCTCCCAGGTGGGGGTGAGTGGACAGGCCAGCCCCAGCCTCCCGGACTAGCCATGGTGACATCCTTTGAGGGAGTAGGTGGCTTCCCCCACAGAGCAGCTCCTGTAAGAGCAGGGCCAGTACATTTCCAGGGCTCAGGGGGACAGTGGGGTGGAGATGGCCATGTTAGCCAGACCATCAACCGTGGCAAACAAACATCTGTTTCTCCGGCAAGGACCACAGCACCTGGCTGTGCCAATAGCAGCCTGGAGAGGCCACAGCTGCCTGAGTCACTGTCCACACCCACGAAGTCGCTCCGAACCCCTGGCTGCCCTATCACTGGACAGACCTGCTCTCTACTGAGTCCGTAGGGTTGGTGTGAGGACATCCAGGCTTGTGGCTGACAAGCATACCGAACCTGGCAAGATCCTGGCCCCGCCACGGGTCCTGAGGACCTCAGGCAGATGTCCAGGTGCTGCTGCAGGTGACAAGGAACCCAGGGCCGGGCAGCTGTGCGGGGCCAAACCCTCAGCAGGATGAGCCTCCCTGGCACCTTGAAGCTCTGGGATCGGGGGAGGAGCGGATGGGTTTTCTGTCTGGGCAAGAGAGGCCACAGGGCACACCAGGCTCAGGCTGGGGTTCTCGTGGCCACGGCCTCTCCCTGCTCTAGCTCTTCTCTTCCTCCTCCAGAGCCACAGACATGGCTCCGTCCTGACGCTGCTCCTCTGGGGGCCTTGAACTAAGAGCGATGACTGCTGCAGCCTGATTCAACTGGAGAGGAAGCCTGAGGGAGTGAGGACTTGTGCTCATGTGCAAGGCCAGGGAGAATCCCCAGTGGACACCACCCACATCTCCACACCACATCTGGAACCCCCTGGGGTGGAGGTGGGGCCCTTGCAGGAGACCAGGAGGGACCTAGACAGGGGAGTCGCGGTCCACACCCCTCTCTGGTCCTTCGCAGCAGAGAAAGTCCACAAAGTGGGAGGGAGCTGCCTTTTTCTGTCAAGTCAGCTGGCTTTGCTAGAAGTCTCCCTGGGGCCGGGAAGCTGTCCCCAGGAACAGTTACCGCTAGGCTGAAACGCCACCTGAGGACTGTGCCATTCCCAGGTGCTGATAGTTTTTTCCCCAGCTGCAGCAGCAGTTTCTCTCAAACAGGGACGCAAGCCCTAGTCACAGACGACAACCCAGGAAGTCTCCTCTAGAGGGGACCAGGTGCCCCTCCCCACACTCAGTGTCTGAGACACAGGGCACTGGCAGAGGAGCAGAAGCCAGCACCAGAATCCCAGGGCCCACAGGGACTCACCATGGCCTAATTAACACAGCTTCAGCCAGGTCCCAGACCCTGGGCCCCTTAGTCCATGCTGTCTATAAAACACAATTTCTAGAATGCTCATATAGGACTCGGTGCCCATGAAACTCTGCCCCTACCCACCAGGTGAGGACCCACCAGCAGCTGCTCCTGCTGTGGCAGAGGATGGCACTTCCACTAGCAAAGCCCAAGGCACCTTGGTGAGAATCAGATGATCGATTTAGGATAGAAAAGTTCCAGCCTGGCTCAGAACAGCCACCTTTCCACTCCCACCACCCAGCAAGCAACTCCTGGGACACACCAGAAAACCTCTGGTTAAAGCCATCAGCAAATGGATGGGACAGCAGAGGGGCTGTGCTGTTCCCCCAAGTGCCGGGGCTGAAGGTGAGGGGAGCCCAGCGCTGCAGGGAGCACAGTTTGAGCCCTTGCTCTGCTACAGAGAGCAGCACATGTCAGGGAGGCCCAGGCTGGGGGAGGAACTGGGAACAACAACAGAGAATCTGCAATGAAAGCCCGGCCTAGTACCTCTCAACTGAGGGACCCTGGCCAGTGGTTTTTAACTCTGAGTCTGTTTCTTCACATGAAAAACAGTGATGAAAATATCCATCCCTTGATGGGTGGTGGGCGGATGGTGTATGTGCATGGTGTGGGGTTGAGGCTCAGGGTGTAGCAGTCACTGGCACTGTCAGCATCTCAGGGACATCGGGGACTCAGGATCAGTCTTGACCTCAAGCTTCACTCAGCCTGAGATGAGAAGTCCCTACCAGCTGTCACCCAGCTCGAGGGACGGCAATGCAATGGGACACTGTCCCAGATACCCTGGAACTGCCCATCCACCCCACATGGCGGAGTCATATCCTCAGCTGTAGCCCCTGCCCCCCAGAAAGGCACAAATGAAGGGGCCGGTCCAGAGCCATTCTAAGGCTGGGACCTCCTCTACAGAAACAACAGGCCACAGATCAGGCGATGGCCACTCGGTGGGAGCTTAGCTTCCTGCTGGTGCTGACCCCAGGCCCCCTGGCTACCCATATAAACCCTTCTAAGCTGAGACCCTACTCTCTCCTCAGGATCCCTCCCAGCTATCCCCCACAGAGGAAAGAACCTGGATTCAAATTCTGACTCTGTCACTTACAGGCTGTGTGACATTAGGTTTCCTTACCCTTAAAATATAAATACTACCACTTACCTCACTGAATACTAGCACAGTATGCCACACACAGTGCTAAGGGGCTGCCAGCCTTAGCCCATTGAATAAGGCCATCGGATGAGAGAGGTGTGAGCATTTCTTCCATATAAACCAGGAAATAGCGGAGCAGAGACTTGAAATAACTTGCTCAAGGTCAAAGAGCTAGTAGCAGGCAGGACTGGGATTTGAACTCACATCCATATGATTTTACAATTCCATCCATCCAAAGTAATGGATATTTATGTATGACCTGCATGTGTCCATGTCTGCAGATACTGGACGCAAAATAGTAAATGAGAGACAAGGTCCCTGTCCTGGGGAGCCGACATCAGGAGAGGAGGCAGTCCATAGCACTGTTCCAGTAGCAGGTGCCACGGAGTGGGTAACTGGTGGTGGGTCGATAGCAACCTGGGTGCAGACGGGGGAGGGATGCCTCACTTGGCCAGATCAGAAGTGTCCCTAAGAACTCTGGAGAGATAAGAAAGTGATAGGGGCCCAGGAGGTGCAAAGTCCCTAAAGCAACCCTGACCATAGTGACAGAATCCAGGGGCAGAAGGGAGGCCAGTGAAGACCATGGATAAGGGGATGGGACATACGATTGAGCGGGATCATGGGCCTGGGGTCATGCTAAGGAACGGGATTTTTTTTCTATGTTCAATGAGAACTATTGGTAAGGTTCAAACAGGAAGTGCAGTAAGATATGATTCATGAATTTTTACTTTTCCTTTACTTTTTAACTGTAGAACAATGTGGGGGATTATTTAGTTATTTATTTATTCATTTTATATCTTAAAGACGGGGTCTTGCTAGGTTGCCTAGGTTGGGGCAGTGGCTATTCACAGGTGCAATCACAGTGCACTATAGCCTCAAATTCCTGGCCTCCAGCAATCCTCCTGCCTCGGCCTCCTGAGTAGCTAGGACTACAGGTATGCATCACTGCATCTGGCTTTTGCAAAGTTTTTAAAGGTCACTGTGGCCTAGGCTGGTGATCACAGCTGTTCACAGCCCCGTCCACATGGTGCTGGGTAAAGAACCCGAGTAGCATCAGGTGGCACTGATCAAATCTCCCCAGACCCAGCACCCTCAGCGTCTGGAGTACTGTGGCCCCAAGCAAATCACCTGTAGGCAGATTTACTTTTGCTCTGTCCCCACCTGCACCTTGCCCCAGTCCCTGCACACAGTAGCTGCTTAGAAAATGCCAGACACTTGGTGGGCGGATACCTGTGAGGACAACTGGAAGTTCAAGGGGCTCCCATCAGGGATATCAGGGGTCCTGGGCTGACACTTACCATCTTGGGTGGTGGGAGGTCTGGAAGGCTCTTCTGAGGGGCCGAGGAGTGCTGGCTGGGCTCCCCATTGGGCAGCAGGCCCTGTCCCTCAGGCGCTGCAGGTAGCAAATGGAGAAGGCTTTGGTGAGGGATGCCTGGCCTTACACATGGTCTCCTTACTCAGAAATGCCCGGTCACATGCACCCCGTGAGCTGTTTTTGAGCAGGTGTTAATTACCCAGGCAGGAGGTCCCTGGAGCTGAAGTTGTTTTTCCTCCAAGAATAGGGTACAATAGTGCCCCAGCCATGTGCCTGGCATTTCTGGCAGCCTCTACCCACCCCCCATGTCAAAAAAAAAAAAAAAAAAAAAAGGTCTAGCCACAGAGCTCCGGCCAGCAGAGGAGCTGCCTAGTGGCCACTATATTCAGCCACTCTCCGCATGGACCCTGTGATTATGGCTCTTTCCTCCCACAGTTTACCCGGAAGGCAAGTGACCGTGGCCAGAGTGGCCAACCTCATCTGGATGAGTTCTGCCAAGTTCCAGGCTTGGTGGGGGGCAGGAAGTGAAGGAGCCACAATGGGGAAGTTAGGCCACCAACCCTCAGTGCACTTGGAAGGAATGGTGCCGAAGACACTTCCGAGCCTGTCCATTTCAGCCAGCCCTGGGACAGACAGGCTCGGGCAAGCCTGACCTCAGGGTTTTGGTGGCTGATGTCTCAAAGACAAGCCTTCGACAGGACTGAGTGCTTTGCAATGCTGTGTTTCCACCCCTCTCTAAGCCTCTGCATTCAAGTCACAGGCCCGGAAGTTAGGAGATGGAGCTTCTTAGCCTGCCTCTTCTGTAACGAGGCAGCTTGGCACACTTCTGGGCCTCCCTGGAGTCCTGCCAGGCCCCTCCCTGGAGGCTTTAAGGGAAAAGCAGAGAGCAAAACAGAGCAGAAGAGTGAGGCACCACGGAAGACAGCATATGTCCTTCCCACGGGAGAGAAAACGTTCCGCCAAAGACAGCACCTTTGAACGTGATGTTTGACTATCAAGGCAGTTGCTGACACCAGCATTTATTTCTCTCTCCTCTTCCTCAACACAGACTTCTATCAAAAGACATAAAGGCAGAACTGTGGGATCAGCACCACACACAGCTGCTTTCTTCGAACATCTGAATTATGACTTCCTGTTCCTGGGATGATGCTGGGAACAGTCAAAAAGTTTTAGGGCCAGATTCCTTATCCAACAGGCAAGGAGGGGGTGGCCTGTTGAAACATCCCAAAATACATCAACCCAAAATACCACCAACCAAAATGTGGCTTCCAAAAATAACTCCGCCAGGCCGGTCTGTGTGCTGGCTGGGAGGAAGGAAAGGTAGAAGAGAACCAGCCTGGACCTCCCCCCATTCCCGGAGCGGCCATCCCTTCAGCGATCCCAGCCACATACCTTTGCCTTGAGACTCTGCATTCTGTTGCTTATTGATGGTCACTTTGTTCATGTAAATGTACTCCTCATCAGAGCCTGCAGAAGGAAGGAGACGGGGGCTTCGTGTGACTTCATGAAGAGAAAGGGCCTCTAGCTAGATACCCTGTTCCCCCAGAGCGCTTTTCATCTGTTTGCGTTCCAGTAAAAGCACACGGCATTTTCAGGGGATTGAAAGAGTAGTCCAACATGGAAAGAGCTGACATTTCCAAAAGAGAAATGACAAGTTGCTGACTGCTAGTTTTCTAGCCTGGCTGAAGGTGCGGGGGCAGGTAAGATACAGGAGGATAGCTTAAGGAATAAAAATCTTGCACTTTGAGAGGCCAAGATGGGCGGATCACTTGAGGTCAGGAGTTGGAGACCAGCCTGGCCAACATGGTGAAACCTTTTCTCTACTAAAAATACAAAAGTTAGTCAGGCATGGTGGCATGTGCCTATGATCCCAGCTACTCAGGAGACTGAGGCAGGAGAATCACTGGAACCCTGGAAGCAGAGTTTGCAGTGAGCCGAGATTGCACCACTGCACTCCAGCCTGGGGAATGGAGTGAGACTCCATCTTAAAAAGAAAGAAAAAAAGAAATCTTAAGTTCAAAGATCTGCCTTCTATCCCACCAAGTAGAGATGTGTCTGAGCTTCCTAGCATTACATTTAAATTGTAAAATATTTCTGATCGGCTGGGCGCAGCAGCTCATGCCTGTAATCCCAGCACTTTGGGAGGCCGAGGCAGGTGTATCATGAGGTTAGCAGATCAAGACCATCCTGGCCAACATGGTGAAACCCCGTCTCTACTAAAAATACAAAAATTAGCTGGGCATGGTGGCGCGTGTCTGTAATCCCAGCTACTTGGGAAGCTGAGGCAGGAGAATTGCTTGAATCCCGGAGGCAGAGGTTGCAGTGAGCTGAGATTGCACTCCAGCCAGTGGTGGGGGAGGAGGGGGTGGAGAGGGAGAGAAGGAGAGAAGGAGGGAGGGAGGGAGGGAGAGAGGGAGAGATAGAGCGGCTCCATCTCAAAAAAAATTTCTGTCATTCTCACTCTAGTCTGAATTACTTGAATGGGTTAATCCGTGTGATATGTAGATAAGGCAGGTCACACTGAAGACTTCGAAGTTTAGCTCCCAGGCCTCTAGGGCCATTGGATGGGTGAAGGGGGACTGGAATACCCAAATCACATGAGTTCTGAGTTTAAAGGGGTGAGTATCCCAAGAGTAAGAACTGGAGAGGCACCAGCCACTTGCTCTTCCCTATAGATTATACCCTGCGGTGGCACAACCCATGCCCTCCTTTAAAATCACTTCTGTGCAGTTTAAGTCACCTTTCCCATGCCTGTCTGGGCAGAGAAAAGCTGGCCTCATAACTCTTGCTCCATTTCCAATCCCCCAAGGCCCCTTTCTTCAGAAGCGTTCAGAGGAAGCTCATCCCAGTGTTTCTCTTTGTCAAAATCCTCTTGAATTTCTTCTGCAGCCTGAATTTGCATTTCCTAGAAACTTGTGGCTGATAAATTCCAGTGGCTGGAGACCGCATTACTGAGCCAAAGGACCCAATTCTAACCTCTGGCAAAGGAAGCAAAGCAGTTCAGCGTCCCTCTGTTCCACAGCCACAGACCGCCCGAACTCCAGCCGACAGGCCTGAAGAGCAGGGCCCCGAGAGCCAAGAGGAACAGGAGAGGGCTGGAAGCAGCCTCAGTGATCAGCGCCTGTGTTCATCACCTTGGTGCCTTGCCCTGACAGGACCAGTCAGCAATGCCACCCCGTGCCAGAGACTGCAGAATTTATGGGCGGGAGCTGAGGCACAAATGGAATGAACCAGAACTCAGACTCCCATCCATTGAGACTCAAAGGGGGCTGGGTCCTTTCTCCAGAGCATGGCGCAGGTGAAAAGCGCCCTGCAGGGAGAGGCAGGAGACGGGTCTCAACCAAAGCTTTGCCATACGGCATAAATCTAGGCAAAGCACATAACCCTTGTGCCTCTGTTTTCTTGTCTGCATAGCATGGAAAACAATCATGATGAAATATTGCCTGTTCAACCGAACTCTTCCGTTTTCAAGAGTACAAAACTCAGGTACTAGGGGGCTTGAAAAGGTAAGGTAACCCTGCAACTAACAAAGACGAAAAATGACGGCTTAAAACATGGGAAATGACTCAAAGGCTGAACAATAGGAAAGGGTAACATTAACAATGGCACATCAACACATGTAACGGCACGTCACCTCTCAAAGCGAGAGGGATTACTGAACAGTATATAAATTGGCATGGCCATTTTAGAGATGATTTTGGAGGATAAATTTTTGTGTTCATATTCTTTGATCCAGCATTTCTACTGCCAGAAATTTATCCTACAGATAAACTCCAGCATTTACAGAAAGTTCTATTTGAGGACATTCATTGCAATGTTGCATAATTTTTTTTTAAAAAAAAGAATATAACTTAAACATCTACCATTAGAGGGCTATTTAAACGTTAGGATTCATCCAGCATTGAACTCCACCCAAGGTAGCTCTGTGTCTGTTTACGAAGATATCCAAGACCACGAGTTTAATTATAAGATCATGTTTCAGACTAGCAGAAAAAGTTTATGAATTGTCAACACATGGAAATGTGTGCATGCAGCAATTCTAAATATAAAATAATGTAAAGCAGAAACAGAGGCAAACCACAACCGCTCCAAAATACTCAGATAATGCTGATAAAAATCACAAAAGGAACTGGAACATAAATAGTGTTCAGTGTTCATTTTTCTTATATCATTAAGTTCACACACCTGTACAAAAAAAAAAGACAAATGTTGTTGTTTTAAATGTTAGATTCTGAGCTGGTGCTTTCTAAAATGACGATTTGTAAATTGCAGAGAAAACTCAGGCTGGCCACTTCATGAGGGTGCATCGGCCCACCTTGGGTGCGCTGTAGGCTGAGGCTGACTTGGTTTTGATTCCCAGAGGATTGCTAATCCAGGACTATCCAGGTTGGGAAGTAAGAGGCTCCCAAGACCCTCTGCAATTGTGGGAAAAGTACAGTAAACCTGGTCCCAGACAGAAAGGCTGCGGACAGGGAGGCCAGACTTCTCAGTCCTGTTTGAGAGGTGGCAGCCTTGGGCTAGAGAACTTTCTGTCATTCACTCAATTATCTCTAGAAGTGCATTCAGCATCAGCACTGTACTAAGTGCTGGGTGTACAGCAGAAAACAAAACAGATGTTGTCTTTGCCTTTGTGAGCCCCATAGTCTAGCAGGGGAGACAGACCTGAATCCGATGGTCACACGGGGGTAGGAAATGACTATGGCCTGAAGGTGTTGGGGAGGTGAGCTGGAAGTGCTTGGAGGTCTGCAGAGGGTGGTCTTTCCCAGAGAACTGGCATGGGGTGGGGGAGGAAGAACATGAACCTCTTTGCTACCATTGGATAGAGAACAATTGACATGCTTTCTATGACAGGGGCATCCACTGAAACATCCCTAGAGCCTCTGAGGGTGGGGGTGGGGGTGTGAGGCGGGTGTGGGGGCTGGCAGGGTGGGGACACAGCTCTCACTGGTGAAGGCTGAAAGAGACCCCAGGGACCAAGCCCTCCACAAACAGATCCTAGTTTGTGCCTTGACCTCTCCATCCAGACAAAAAGCAAAAAGCGTAGAAAATTTGTGTTACACCAAGAAGAAAAAAAAAAAATCAAAGATCAGAAAACCCAGATAGACAATTCCATTTGTAAAGTGTAAATGCACACATACACATCCTGCCTAAAATGCGTGCAAGTGCCCAACAGTTCAGCCTGTGTGGACCACAGCTATCTAGAGATGATCACCTTGCCTCCACCTACAAGTCTCAACAGGCTGAGCTAATTTTTTGATAGAGGCAGGCCTGGGAGGCCGAGGGAAAGAATGCTATAAAGTCAGGTGTGGTATGTGTGTTTAGGATTCTGTCCTATGCAACACAAGTCACTGCAGGGCAATAGAGCAGGTGGAGATAAGGTCAGGTCCACCTGCCCAGGCCCAAGCTCTGGCTCTGCCCTCAAGCCTTGTGCCCTCAGGCAAGTGACTTGCAGAGGCTTGGTTTCCTTGTGGGTAAAATGGGAATAAGCTTTGGGATGAGGAATGAATGCATGTCACTTACTACATTAAGTACAAGGACACAGAGTACACAGTAAATATTGGCTGCTATTGTATCTTCTGCAGACTCTACCCACTTTGCAGTCAAGGGGTGCAAAGAGGACCGGAAAGGAAATTCTGTTAAACTGTGGCTACTAACAAGTGGGCTTCACTTCTGAGAACACAAGCCCCAAGCCTCAGAGTGGCTGTGCATGGGTGGCACTCTGGAGGCGATTCACCTTGGGGAACCCGTGACCAGTTCCCAGCAGATTCCCACCCACTACAAGCTGCAGAGTCCAAGGAGAGGGGAAGGCCTGACCTTTATAAGAACTGATCAAGGGCAGAACAAAAGGGTTATCCTACAGGAAGCCACATCACAGGTTAATTCAAAAGAGACCCCATGTAGGAGGCGCTGCCAGAGCGGTTAGCACCAAGAACCATGAGTCAGACCTATCACAAACAGGTGTTTTCCAGTTCCCAACAGAAGCGCTCTTTATCATTGAATGTTCAAGGTAGAGCACATCTAAGTGGTCTGGGGAATGTGCTTTACAAAGGATTCCACTGATGAATCCTTCATGGAATGAGTCATCCCCCTCTAACTTTCCCGCTTTGTAATGTGGATTTCCCATCTGCGTTCCCATGGTGGACTTCTTTGATGTGTTGCTGACCAGCACTCACGGCGGCAGACGGCAGGCTGGTGAACGCTCCCTACAAAGCCTTCGGGAGCCTGGGAAGCTGCAAAGGCTGAAGGAAAACACCTCTGATGAGAGGCTAGGGCAGATGATTCCTCCAGAAGAGAAGGTAAATGGGCATATACCAACATGCCTCAGCTTTATGACTGCTATTCAGAGACTAGAGACTAGTTCCACAAGGAACAGAGGGGAGAGGCCTCGAAATGTAACCTGGCAGTTCAGGTTGGATACAACGAAATATTTCTGGACTGTGATGACGGGCAGGTGGAGACTTCCCTTCTCTGGCAGGACGTGGGCTGCCCCTGCTGAGAGGCAGATGGATTAGATGCCCTCACATGGTCCCCGACTGTCCCCAAACAGCACTTCCAATTCTCAAACATCTGACATCAAAATCAACTCAACTGTTAGGACTTCACAAAAGGTTTTTCCTTTCTTAAAAGAACCTGAATTTGCTAGAAAGAAAACCACATATCCACAAGAAGACTTATTCAAGAATGTTCCTAGCTGCCTCATTCGTAATACTCCAAATCTGTGAACAATCCTAGTGCCCATCAATGAGTGAAAGGATAAACAGATTGTGAACTATTCACAGGATGGACTACTACTCAGCAACAAAAGGAACAAACAGCAGACACATGCAATGGCATGGATGAATCTCCAGAGAAGAACCCAGAAATACGGTACACATCATATGAATCTGTTTCTACAAAGCGCCAGCACAGGCAATATTAATCCGTGCCAGGAGAGAGTCAGCACAATGGTTGCTTGTGTTGGGCAGCTGGGAATGGCCATGACAGAACTTTCTAGATGATGGAAATGTTCTATATCTTGTTTGGGGTGATAAGGACACCAGGGGTAAACAACTATCAAAACTCACTGAATTATTTTACATATGTGCACATTATACGCAAACTCTATCTCAATTTTAAAAAGACAGAAAAATTATGGACTCAGGGTTCTGTAATTTACAGTCTTCCAACTATGTTTTCCCTTGGGTTGAATCATATTGAGCAGGTTATTTAAACTCTCCAGGTCTCCGTTTCCCCCTCTAATGATAGCACCAGCCTCACAGAGAGGTCTTGAAGATGAACTGGGTTATTACATGTACTCGTGGGAATGCTCAATACGCCCCCGCTATTATTACAGTTTATTATTCCATTTCTACTTTCAACCAGTATGAAGGAAGAGTGCTTCCAAAATAGTTTAAAACCTCACTCATGGGCTATGTTAAGTGGTGAAAGATTTCTGGGGCTCCTGCCCAAGTTGGGTCAGTCCTGCACCATTGCTATGTGGTGAAATGTGGCCCCTCAAAATTCATATAGTAAATCCTAGCACCCAGTATACGTCAGAATATGACTGAATTTGGAGATAGGGTTTTCAAAGGGGTAACTAAGTTAAAATAAGGTCATTGGGGTGGCCCTAATCCACTATGACTGATACCCTTATAAAGAGAGGAGATTAGGGCCCAGGCACAATGGCTCACACCTGTAATCCCAGCACTTCAGGAGGCCGAGGTGGGTGGATCACCTGAGGTCAGGAGTTTGAGAACAGCCTGGTCAACACAGTGAAACCCTGTCTCTACTAAAAATACAAAATTAGCCAGGTGTGGTGGCAGGTTTCTGTAATCCCAGCTACTCTGGAGGCTGAGGCAAGAGAATTGCTTGAACCTGGGAGGCGGAGGTAGCAGTGGGTGGAGATCATGCCACTGAACTCCAGCCTGAGTGACAGAGCAAGACTGTTTCAAAACGAACAAACAAAAACAGAAAATGAGAGCCAGGCGAGGTGGCTCAAGCCTGTAATCCTGGCACTGTAATCCTGACTGAAGCAGGGCAGATGGCTTGAGGCCTGGAGCGAGACCAGCCTGGGCAACATGGCAAAATCCCATTTCTACCAAAAAAAAAAAAAAAAAGAAAGAAACAAGCTGGGCATGGTGGCATGCACCTATAGTCCCAACTACTTGGGAGCCCAGGAGGTTGAGGCTGCAGTGAGCCATGATTGCACCACTGTACTCCAGCCTGGGTGACAGAATGAGCCTCTGCCTCAAAAAAGTTAAATAAAAAGAGGAGATTGGGACACAGACACAGAGGAAACCCATGTGAGGACACAGGGAGAAGACAGCCACCAGCACGCCAGGGAGAGAAGCCAAACCTGTTCGTACCTTGATCTTAGACTTCTGGCCTCCAGAAGTGTGAGAAAATAAGTGTCGTTTATAGTGCCCAGCCTGTGGCCCTTAGCTGCAGCAACCGGCACGGACTCACAGCCATTTGTCTGCGAGGAGGCCTCTGCCCCCCGCCCCGGGACCCACACTCACTGCTGCTTTTGGTGTAAAGCCGGAGGAGCTCCGCCAGGCAGCTCTTCTTCACCAGCGCTGTGCTGCTCAGATTCTCCTGGTCCAGGATCTTGAGGAAGTCATCCAACTCTGTCAGCAGCTGCTCCAGGGCTAGGGACAGAAAACAGAAGACACTTACAGCACCTGCCCTCTCTCCAAAGGCCCAGCTAAGATACACCTCAAACCCTCTGGTTCCAAGAGGAAGGGTTTGGTGTGAGGTCTGGCAGCGTGTGGGGGGAGTGGGCAGGAGGTGGGATTCCCAGCTTCAGGGCTACAGGGAGAGACAAGCAGGCCTTTGGCTCGGAGATGAAGAGCCCCCACTGAAGCCCCAGGCCTACCAGGTGCTGGAGGAGTGATGACGGCCTCATCCGCCAACTTCCTATCTCCTCCACTGCAAGCGTCTGCCCTCACAGGACTCTCCAGGAAACTAAGAAAGCGCTACCTCCAAAGCGTTTTGAGGGCCGTTGAGCTCTGCTGTTAGAGCTGCGGCTAGAATCAGGGTTGGTCTCATCTTGATCCTCTCTGGGTGGCTTTGGGCCCATTACTTCTTAGGTCTTTTAGTTCAAATGCTTTAAGTTCCTTCCAGCTCTGAAGTTTTATAGTTCCAAGCCACACCTTGGCTGTATGACTTTAAGTATGAATCTGTTCACAGGTTGTCCATGTTTAAAAGCCACCCCTGAGGCTAGGATCCGTGGCTCACACCTGTAATCCCAGCACTTGCGGAGGACGAGGTGGGCGGATCTTGAGGTCAGGAGATCAAGACCATCCTGGCCAACATGGTGAAACCCCGTCTCTACTAAAAATACAAAATTTAGCCGGGCATGGTGGTGCATGTCTGTAGTCCCAGGTACTCGGGAGGCTGGGGCAGGAGAATCGCTTGAACTGGGGAGGCAGAGGTTGCAGTGAGCCGAGATCATGCCACTGCACTCCAGCTTGGCAACAGACTGGGACTCCGTCTCAAAAAAACAAAACAAAAAGCCACACCTGTTCCTCAGAAGCCCCACCTGGCCTCCAAAGCCCCGCAGACTGCAGCAGCCTCACCCATGGTCACTGTCACACTCCACAGCCCCGACACTGCACCCCTCTTTCCTTCTCTGGCTTTCATGCTTCCTGGTCTTCTCTGCTAAATCACACCTGTCCCTCTGTTGCCGGTGGTAGTTATCATGCGGATCTGCAGCAGCCTCAGTTCTTGCCTCCTCAGAAGAAAGAATTCGACTGAGGCAAGTTTTGGAGCAGAAGTAAAAGTGTGTTAAAAAGCTTTAGCTGGGCACGGTGGCTCACACCTGTAATCCCAGCACTATCAGAGGCCAAGAGTTCGAGACAAGCCTGACCAACGTGGAGGAAACCCCGTCTCTACAAAAATACAAAATTAGCCAGGCTAATTGTATTTTGCGAGCTCCTATAATCCCAGCTACTCGGGAGGCTGAGGCAGGAGAATCGCTAGAACCCGGGAGATCACTCCATTGCACTCCAACATGGGCAACAAGAATGAAACTTTGTCTCAGAAAAAAAAAAAAAAAAAAATCTCTAGAACAGTAAGGAAAGGAAAAAGCAGTCCAGCTTGGAACACAGCCACACGGGCGACTTGAGAAACCAAGTGTGAGGATTGACCCCGTCACTTGGCGTTTTATACACTGGCATACTTCTGGGATCTCGCGTTACTTGCCCTGCCCCTGAGAGCTTACTGGGAAGCTGCCGATTGGTTTCAGGTGTTTTCTATTAGGAGTCTGCCTTTCCCTGCACTGGCTGTGACCAATGATTACTTAGAGAAACAGTTAACAACTGCCTGACCATCACCTCGTGGTTCATCCAACACTCCTAGTATGTGGGACAGGGTGGGGCGCCCTCTCCTGCCCTGCTCATGTCTAACGAGCTACCCGCTGTAACACCTCAGGTCTTGGTCTACATAGCATTCCTCCTGAGACCCCTTCTCTGGGCCTCTTTAACAGATAATCCCATGTTATCAGCACTGGCCTCTGTGGTGGGCTAAATATTGAGCTTCCAATTGATGTGCATGACCTGACCCCCTGAATCTGTGAATATGCTACTTGACATAGCAAAGGGACATCACAAATGTGATTTAATTAAGGAGATTATCCTGGTTTGTGCAGGTGAGCCATTATAAGAGGGAGGGAGGTGGGTAAGAGTCAGGGAGATAAGTTGCCACCATGTTGGCTTTGGGGCTGGAGGAAGGGACCATGAGCCAAGGAACACAGGTGGCTTCTGGAATCTGGAAAAGGTGAGGAAGTAGATTATTTCCTAGAGCCTCCAGAGAAACAGAGCTCCGTGGACCCCTCTCAGATTCGGATCTCCAGAACTGTAAATTAATGAGTTCGTGTTGCTTTATATCACCAAGTTTGGTAGTTTGTTACAACAGCAATAAGAAACTAAGACACCCTCTTACAGCTCTGATTGCTCCATAGTGTAGCTGTCTGCATCACCATTTAGCTGCAAGCTTGAAGGACAGGCTTTGTGTGGAGCTCACATTTCCAGGGCCCAGCACAATGTCCAATAAATATTTGTGGACTTGGGCAGACGTGGTGGCTCATGCCTGTGATTCTAGCACTTTCGGAGGCCAAGGTGAGTGGATTGCCTGAGCTCGGGAGTTTGAGACCAGCCTGGGGAACACAATGAAACCCCATCTCTCTCGGCCAGGTACGGTGGCTCACGCCTGTAATCCCAGCACTATGGGAGGCCGAGATGGCTGGCTCACCTGAGGTCAGGAGTTCAAGACCAGCCTGGCCAACATGGTGAAACCCCATCTCTATTTTTTTAAAAATGTAAAAAGTAAAAAAATAAAATAAAATAAAGAAAGAAAAAAGGAAACCCCATTTCTACCAAAAATACGATAAATTAGCTGGGCGTGTTGGCGTATGCCTGTAATCACAGCTACTTGGGAGGCTGAGACAGGAGAATCACTTGAACCTGGGAGGCAAAGGTTGTAGCTAGCCGAGATTGCACCATTGCACTCCAGCCTAGGCGACAGAGGGAGCCTTAGTCCCAAAAAAAAGTATTTGTTGACTAAACGAGTAAATGGAAGTTTAGTGGCCTGGATTAGAACTAAAGACAAGCCCACTAAAAATCCAGGTATCTACCAGGTCCTATCTAGCCAAAATATTGGAACAGATGGAATTTAAAAAGCATCTCCTCCACTTATCTAACTTATATAATACAGTCACAACACTGAGAACCCAAATAATTCTTCCCCCAAATGGTGTCCATGAGACCAACTCCTAGAGTTTTGTTGTTGTTGTTGTTTGTGTTGTTTTATGTGGTTTTTTTTTTTTGAGATGGAGTTTCGCTCTTGTTGCCTAGGCTGGAGTGCAATGCTGTGATCTTGGCTCAACGCAACCTCCGCCTCCTGAGTTCAAGCAATTCTCCTGCCTCAGACTCCTGAGTAGCTGGGATTTACAGGCAGCGCCACCACCTCACCCGGCTAATTTTGCAATTTTAGGAGGGAAGGGGTTCCTCTATGTTGGTCAAACTGGTCTCGAACTTCCGACCTCAGATGATCCACCCACCTCCGCCTCCCAAAGTGCTGGTATTACAGGTGTGAGCCACTGTGCCTGGCTCTAGCTCCTGGAGTTCACCACATGAACGAGCTGTTCTGAAGCCTGGACTCCAGCAACGTGCCTACCATCTAGAACCCTTGGTCCCTCCTGCTTTCCTCGTGATTGCTCTGCTCCAGACCAGCATAAGCTCCCCGTCTGCATGGGTAGCCCTTCATTTGTGTCACTGTGGGGGCAAGTCAGTGGCTAAGGAGAAACAGGCACTTTGTGGGAAGCCTGCACTTATTTGCTCACCTCACCCCCACCCCCTTGTCTCCCTGGCATTGCTGGTAAGTGCCACTGTGACACTGAGCAGATTTACAAATAACCAGCAAGGAGGGAAGGAGGGAGGCAGGCTGCCACTGGGCACACCAGAGTACAGGGCAGAGACTAAGGTCTTCCAGTAGTCAAATGTTTGCCCAAAGAGCATGGGCTGCAGGAGCTTCTCTGCAGAGAGAGAAGCATCAGTGGGAATCAGTTACTATGGGCATCACTAGAGGCTGCACCCAGCAAAAGTTGCCCTATTGACTTTGACCTTAACCAGTAAGGCCTCCCACCAACTGACCCAGGGGAGCTTCTCTGCTAGAGCTAGAGGCCTCTTCCCCATGCCCTGCTGTAGCCAGACTGGCTCACCAAGGGCCAGGAGCCACACTGTCAGCATCATAGTGCCCACATCCAAAGCAATGGTGCTGCTGGGCCTGGATGACTGAGCTGAACCGGAGCAGAACAGGAGACAGCACCAAGATGGGGAAACTGAATTCAACAAGGAAATGAAAGGAGAGCGACGGTGGCAAAATCCCAACTCTTGCCTGAGATAAAGTCAGAAGGGACCATAATCCAGCTTGACCAATGTGACCCCTGGTAGTCTGCAAACAAACATTTCCTACCATCAAGTCCACGAGCATTGATTCAGCATCTACTAGGCTGGCCCATGGAAGCATTTAAAAGAAAGAACGAAGCATGGTCTCCCAACTCAAAGGCCTTAGCTCGCGTCGTGTTTTGTTTCTAACAGTTACTCATGAGTTTCCTGTCGGCTGCAGGAACTCAAGAGGCTCAAAAGCAGTGAGCTTAAAGAAGCCAAACCAGGGAGAATAAATTGAGGACAAGGACACTGGGCCTTGAACTCAGCCTCAGGGGACAGGGGAAAGTGAAAGGGCCTTGCAAGGCAATTGGGGTCTCAAGCTGCATTTTTCCTGACTTCTGAGTTTCTCAAGGCTGTCCCTCTGCTGCCACTTCAAAAATAAATAAATAAATAAAATAAAAGCCACAGAAACTCAAGTATCTTTTCACTTCCGCATCCTTGGCTATTCCCAAAAGCTGCCCGATTCCTGGAAAATGGCCTTTGTTTCTATTACACGTGAGCCAATATGTACCAAGCCAAAGGGTGGAAAGTACTGGGACTGGCCCCGGGGAGGCAAAGGTGACCCAAGGAGTCTTCAGGCCTCCCAGGGGCCCAGTGAACACAGGGTAAAAAGAGAACTAATCCAGGGATGTTTCCAAGGACCAGCAATGCAATGAGGAAAGTGGGGCAATCTCTTGAGTTTATTAGGGAAACGAATTTTG